GGGAGCGGTGGCCTGCGGCACTGCGGTGAAGTCGCCCGGCTCCGTGCTGGGAGGACGGCCGTGCACCCGGAACCGACCTGGAAGCGCAGCCGGGGAGGAAGGGGCGGCCTTGGAGATGGATCACCCCAACTGGCGTGCTGGCCTGGAAGATGGAGACTAATTTCGCCCGCCTTGGGGGTATCAAAATAGGACCGCGACTCTGCTAGGAGCCGGGGATATTACTGAATATGTATCAGTACTGGCTTGGTCGCTAAGCAGCGCGCTGGGTTTTGGCGTCTTTCTTGCTTCTTCCTCCCAAGTCTTGCTTGTGGGAGCTTAGCTTCACTCTAGAGGTCACTGTGGGGACACAACTTTATCTTGTGGCTCCAGCTTGCAGTTTAATTGTTGCAGACGACTCAAATAACTTACTGGAAAGGGTTAAAAGCTGTACAGGACTACAGAACGCTGGGGATTTTTTTTGAGGGGGGACTGAAACTGCAACATGAAACGGTAACATTTTTTGCAATATATTTCCTGAAAATATTGCCTTTGTAAAAGAGCAGTCTTTAAGCCACTGATTCCCCCATTAATTAGTACATGTCTGTAGAGGGCTAGATGAGGAAAAGAACGAGACACTATAATCATCTTCAAACACTTTCCTCTCCTCACCATAATAACAACAACAACAACAACAAAATGAATCTAAGACCACACCGACAAGGTGCATTAGCTACAGTTTTGGCTCGCTCCTTTTTCTGGACTCATATGGCGCGATGGGGGAAACAGAGGATTGGCTTCTAGCAACTGCTGCTGCGCCTGTCCATTGGCAGGAGCACCTTGTACCCACCCCAGACCTTGCAGGTCGTAAATGGTCCATGACAGGCCGAGCAATTTTTTTTTTTTTTTTTTTACAGTTTTACAGTACATGGCAGCTGGCGACAATCTTACCCTAGAAATTAATAATCTTAGCAGAAGCACAAAAGATACAAAGGAGACCAAATTAATGAGCAGTGAGCTAATGCAAGAAATTTGGTGGAAAAGTCACTTCCTCTTTCCTTCTCCCTCCCCCCAAGACACCAAGAAGTTTTTGTTTTGTATTTCAAGATGGAATTGTTATTTTTGTAAATAAATTTAATTTGGTAGTGATATAATGGGAGACTATAGCTAATAGACTTTTGTCATTGAAGTGTTAACAATCAAGCTTTCCTAGGACTTGTGGTCTCAAGAAATTTCATTGTAATCCTTTCAAAATAAGGTCTTCTCCTGCTACATGTTTTTCTTAAAGAGAAAGTTATGTTTATTTTAGCTCCTATTGACTTGTATTTCTCTCTCTCCCCCTAAAGTTAGGCTTTTTAGTTCTTAAAAAATCAGTTCATTTAGTATATTTTAGAGCAAAAGATACTTTAAAAATCCTTGGAGTTTCATTTTAGCAGAATTAATTGTTGATATTTTGGGGGTGACAGAAGTAAACCTAGGAAAATGCAATCCACTTACTTGCTTCAGGTTTGCCTTTTAAGAGGACTGGGGTGACTTTGCTGTACAGTCCTGGGGGGGACTTGGGGGGCATCATCGGCATGGGGGGTCAGGTCCCCACACAATTTCTAGCTGCTCACACTTTCAAGGCTTAGTTCTGGGGGTCAGGCTACTGGGGTGAGCTTTTTTGGGTAATAAAGGCTTAGCACTGCCCCATACTGCATTGATTATCCTCTTATGAGAGCTGCTTCTCAGCAACACTGCATGAGAACAGATCATTTGTTGGATCTCGTGACAGGCAAGTCACTCACTGGCTTCTGAAGTCCTAGCAGTAGAGACTACGTATTCGTAACAGCTAGGAATTGGCCTAAAGGAAATACAGTTTCTTAACACTGGCAGAAGAATAAGACCCGTTGGTGGGATTTCTCAAGGAAATATTAGCATTTGTTTTCCATATCTTTTCCAAAGGACAGCTTTTAAAAAATGGCAAATGGAATCTTAGTCCAATATTTTATAACTTTTGAATAAAAATCTTGCAATCCATGACTAATAGGTCTTACAAATACAAGTTAGTTATATTGTTATAGTGATCTGAATACCAGCCTCCTCTCCAACATCAGTACATGGATTTCATGGTCATTTAGTTAAATGTAAAGATCAGGCTGTATTTGGAGCCATTTATTCATTCAAGCCTATGTGTATTGAGCACATGTTCTGTGCAAAACACTCAGAATACAATGATGCTTGTAATATTGTAATGAAGACTCTAAAAGAAGGCCTGGAAGGGCCACGTGGAAACAGTACATGAGCCAGAATATTTGGAATAGTATGTAATGCCATGAAGAAATAAAATAGGGTGATATACTAGAAAGCTATTGTGAGATTACTTAGATTGTCTTAAGAAGTGATATTTGCATTGAGAAACAAGCAGTGAAGAGTAATTTCCATGTGAAGAACTGCCACACAGCACTGCAGGCTGTGAGGCAGGAATAGAGTTGCAACTCAGGAGGGCAACAGGCAAAAGGAAGACCAGTCTTCTCGGAGAGTAGTGAATAGAGATAGGTAGTCAGAGGCCAGACTTTTTGGGACATAAAAAGGAATGTAGATTTTTTTTTTTTTTTGGTGGTACTGGGGGTTGAACTTAGAGACTTTTCACTGAGCTGCATTTTCAGTCCTTTTTGTATTTTTAATTTTGAGATTGATTCCCCTTAAATCACTAAATTTCCTAGGCTGGGCTTGAACTTTGGACCTTCTTGGCTCAGGCTCCTAGAGAGCTGAGATTATTTATAGGCATGGACCACCATGGCTGGTAGGAAGCAGATTCCAAGCCAAGTGGAAACCCATGGGATTTTGACGTTTGGGGCTACCTTTCTGTCTTCAAGGATGATTTCAAGGAGGGCACCTTTCCTCCATCAATCCTTAGGCCAAGTAATGGGACCCAGTAGACTTCGCTTTTATAAATGTTCCAGTTAGACTCACACATCACCACTTGCTAGTCATCAAAATTACAGACATTATTTAAGGTTGAGATATTGATATTGATAGCACATATAGGAATATCTGCTTACAAAAACAATTCTGGAGAGAATGAGGACGCAACTCAAAGATAGTAAGGCTTAGGAAAAGTTGGAAGTGTGGAATGGGGATTGTACATTGTGTAATGGTGGAATGTAGAAGCTTGCATGGCGGGGCGGCTCCTAGGTAACAGGTAGAGGTCTACAAAAGGACAGTGATGTTGGGGAAAGAACACAGTGAAGCCAAGAGAAAAAGAAGCCCAATGTGATTGTGTTTCAAAAGAAACACCAATTCAAGTACAAAGAAGTTCAAATCGAGATACCTATTCTTTTGACTTTTCTTTTCCTAGTGAAGCAATTATAACAATAAAAACATATAGGCTTTAAAAAGATAGCTTCCAGCTTTACTTAATCATTATTGCATTGTTCTTATGGATTTCAAAACTCACAGCTGAAAATACAATAATGCTAACAATAACCATCATCTGTTGGAAGGAGCTGGTTAGCAGGAAAATCATGCTCTTGTGTCTCAGATTTTCCTGAGGAAATGTTAACAAGGGAGAAATGGGGTTTGTTGATGGTTCTCTTAACCCTAAGCATTTGTGACTAGAAGATGCCATAATATTTAGGAAAGATATGAAAATGGTTATTTTAAAGCTCTTCACTGCCTACTTCCACCCCCAAATGGTCTGCCAAGGACTAATAGTGAAAACTATACTAAGAATTTCTGTAGCTTTCAGGCTTTGTTCACTCCACACCCCAAGCAACTCTTTGGGGGCTAACAAGGCTGGTAGTGCCTCAGGGATTATGTCAGTGGCTCTAGTGACACTAACACAATGTATTTATGACATCATCTTCTTTTTACAGCACTGATTGTCATAGAATGTTAGAAAGAAGGCTCAGTATTTATAGTTGCTGACAGAATGATACAGTGAGAGGTGAGTGATGCCGCTAAACATAATCTATATTTGAAAAAATTAAGTTTATTATTTGAGAGTATATGTTTTGTGTAAGTCAAGAAGTACATATACACAGATGTGTGTATCCATGTGTGTGTATATGTGGTAGTCTTCACATAGTGACTTCTGTGCATATATTTTATGTATAATGGAGTCCGAATATAAACTGAGCATGTCTTTATTGTGTACATATTTATGTAAATAGACAGAGAGAGAGAGAGGGAAAGAGGAGAGGAGATCTTTGTTCTCCTTTATATCCAGACTGTACTTTTCATACCTGTGAGCATGGTGATATTTTCTACATTTTGTACATGAAGAAATTGAGATACAGAGACATTAGATGCTGTCTTGAGGTCTAATAGTGATTAGTAAATTGGCTAGATGCCTAACCAAGCCCCAGGGCTTTTTTGCCCTTTTCTGTTTTCACAATTTTAATACCTGTTTTTTTTTTCTCATGATCTGTTAAGTCTAAAATGCAAAGGTAGATTATCAGCTTTTTCCCCTTTAGTGAATCAGAATGTTCTATCTTTTCCTACTTTCCCAGAGGTGTCCTGACTTTGTTGTTGTTGATCCACCATTCACATGAGCCTACATTGCTAAGCGTGAGAGGCTAAGTGCTCACCGATGCTAAGGTGATTTCTTAGAGGTTGGAGGGTCCTCTAGAGAAGGGGAGAAGGTGAACCAATGTTATTACTCTCCAAGGAGGTATAAACAGGAAAAGAAGCTCTGCATTCAATATTGGGATTCACAGATTCTTTTGCTGTCCCTTTGACTATCATGGTAGTCAGCCTTCAAGACAGGCCTCAGAGTTCCTTACTGCCTGGTGTTCACATTTCAGTGCGTGCTCCTTTCCCTACTTGTGTGACCACTAAATGCCGAGGAAGGATAGGTTCACGGTAAAGTTTCGGCAGCTTCTGCCTTGCTCTCCTGTGCTCTTTGCTCCCGGTGTCTCTGTTTTTGGGGAAAACCAACTGCTCTATAGCGAGAACACTAACTGTCCTTTGGAAAGGCCATGTGTGAAGGAATAGACGTCTCTTCCTAACAGCCAGGACCAGCTTGCTGGTCCAGTGAATGATCTGCCTTAGAAATGGGTTTCCAGGTATCTGCAGCCTCTGCTGACCTCTGACTGATGTTTGTGATTAAGCCTGACCCGGGACTGTCCAACCAAGCCACTCCTAGTTTCCCAAATTCCAGAACTTGTGAGAGATAATACATTCTTACGAAGCTATTTAATTTTTGAGGCAATTTGCTATATAATATTAGATAAGAAATATATCTGTAGTTCATTATTTTTGTAACTCAAAGCTGGGAGGTAGGGACTGGACCCCCTTGTGGGTATGTAATTATTAGGGGAGACATTGTGTGTGTGTGTGTGTGTGTGTGTGTATGTGTGTGTGTGTTTAAGAATATTAATAAAACCTCTGCATACCATGGTGTGAATTTACTTATTTATACAATGACACTGGGATTTCCTGTGGACCCCATGCGCTGCTTTCGGGCCTTGGGGGAATGGAACACTCTAATTCACAATCTTCATTACTAGATTCAGCACTGGACTTGAATCTTTGCCTTCTTTCCTAATTAGTGAAATGGGATTAAAATCCGAAATTCCCTTTGGCTGATTCCCTTGACTTCCTTTGAGCAGCTTGTTTCTTCCTCTGCCTCTTCTGGGTATTCATTCTTGGTTCCTCTTTTTCACTTAGAATAGAAGTTAACTTCCAAATACAAGCAGTAAACACAGAGTACCAATATACTCTTGGATACACTGATTTCATTTCCTTTGGATATTTACCCCAAAATGAGATTTCTGGATCATCTGCTAGTTCGATTTTTAACTGTTCCAGGAACCTCCATTCAGTGCTCCATGAAGGCCACACCAATTTGCATTGCTATCAACAGTATGCAAGAGTTCCCTTCTCTTGTATCTGGCTAGCACTTCTTGTTTCTTGTCTTTGTGATAATAGCCAGCTTGGTGTGAGGTGACATCTTGTCATGGTTTTGATTATCATTTTTCTGATGATTAATGATGTTGGGCACCTTTTCATGCATTTCTTGGCCATTTGTATGTCTTCTTTGGAAAATATCCATTCATGTTGTTTGCCTGTTTGTTAATTGGGTTATTTGCTTTTCTACTATTGGACTGTAAATGACATGGTAAATAAATTGGTAAAATAAACTAGGTAGCGTATGCTGTCATTTATATATAAGATATAAAAAAAGTTGAACTTGCAGGAAGCAGAGAGTAGAAGGTTGGTTTCCAGAGGCTGGGGTCTGAGGAAATGAGATGTGATCAGTGTTTCCAGAATTGCATTATAGGATGGGGATTTAGCTCAGTGGTTCTGCCACCTGCCTCACAAGCATAAGGACCTGAGTTCCATCCCCAGTACCCCCCCACAGATTGCATTATGTAAGTTCTTGGATTCTAATACACAATATACAGGTGTGAGTGGATGTATTATTTAATTTGGTTGTGACAGTCATTAAATAATCTACATGTAGGCCAAATCATCATGTTGCACACCTTGAGTGTACAAAATCTTTATCACTTACAGACTTTGAAATAAAAATAAATAAATGAAACTGTTGTTTGCAATAATAGTAATTTGAGAGAGGGCTGACATCCATCAGAATCACAGCAATAGAGGGCATGAGAAATAGAAAGATACTGAATATATTTTTAAGACAGTATTTTGCAGACAAGCAGGAGTGTGAGAGAAGGAAAAGAATTGTGCAGGACTCCACAGGTCTGGGCCTGAAGAGCTAAGAGGAGTGAGTTGCCATTGACTAATTTTTGAAAGATTGTTAGGGTGTAAGTTTTGGGGAATGGATCTGGAGTTAGTTTTGGATCTCATTGGATTTGAGATATTTATTTGATATCCAAGTGAAAACAACAACGAGGAAATTGTACATATGAGTCCAGAATTTTTGAGAAAGGCCAGGTGGATGCTATGAATTTGGGTAATTGGCACATAACTGATGTTTAGGACCTTAGACTGGAAACTGAGTGCAGCTTGAGAGAAATGATTTGAGCCCAGGGTTATTCTGTTATTAAAATGTTAGTGAGAAGGAGAAGAACAGTTAAGGAGATTAAGAAAGAGCACCTGGTGAGGGAGAAATTAAGAGAGTGTAGGTAGGATCCTCAAGCCAAGGAAGAAAGTGTATCAAGGAGAAGGTTAATCAACTGTGTCAACTATTGCTGAAAGTTAGACTATGAAATGAGTACTGGATTTATTAAGCAAAGGTCCCACGATGCATAGTGGTGGCAGTAATGCTCTGGATGGATAGGTAAAGAAAGAATTGGAAGAATGAGAGACAGTACACCTCTTCTGAGGAGTTTTTCTGTAAAGGAAGCCAGGAAAGGATGCTATGTCTGGGGTTGGAGTTGTAGAATTAAAAAAAAGAGATGTTTTTAAGATGAAACAAATATTAGCAAGTTTTATTCTTTGTTGTTTCTTACCATGGCATTTGCCTTTTGAAGTGATTTTAAACTTCTCTTTCACTATTTTAAATATTTGCCACTGTTCATGACAGTTTCCTTAGGAGGTAGGGATGACTTCATGTAGAATGATCTTAAACCACTTGATTCTGAGGATGTTTCTCTTTTCTCTTTATGTCTTTAAATATATTATCTTTAAGGAACATTAAATGGAGTATTAAATGAGGTGCAGAAGTGGACTTCTTGACAAAATATTTCACGAAATATGCTGCAATAAGAGAAAGTTACAAGAGAGAAAATTTTGCCATTCACTTTGCGCTGGCTGTTAATAGTCCAGTCTCTCACTTGGAAAGTTCTTGAGGAACCAAAGCAAAATTTAGGGACTAGTCTGGTAGTTCCCAATGAAGGTCAATTTTGCAATGCTCAGTTATGTTTCGTAGTCACGATGAGTGGGGCTGGTGGTAGTTAGCAACAAGCAGTGCTGCTAAACATTTTGTGATGCTCAGGACAGCCCCTGCAATAATGGTCTGGTTTAAATTATTAGTAGGGCCAAAGTTGAGAAACTCCTGGCTAGTCCCATTGGTTTTCCATTCTCTTTGTGAGAAGCTAGGAAGGTATTTCTGAAAAAGGGGCCCAGATGAGTCAGCTTCACCTAACCCATTGGTCTAGGCTGAGAGGAAGTACAACCTTTTAACAAAATTCAAAATGAAGGAATTTTTTATTGTCTTTGTTTTTTTTTTTTTGCCCTCCCCACTTCTTCCTTCTGTCCATTCACATGGAATGTTATAATTTTATACCCTTCAGTAGTGTCCCCTTAGGACCTGAGCATTAGACGAATATTAGTAATGATGAAAGGGCTCCTGTTTAATTGAGGAACCAGATTTCACATTGCTGATTCCTACAACTTTGTGAAAGAAAGGATAAGAAGAGGATGATGTGTTAAGCTGTGACTCTATAGCTGTTTAGTATGAAAAGACAGGCAGTCTCCCAGATGTTTTGCTGTAGCTTATATTTTGGCCACTAAGATTTAAGAGGAGAGTTGCACTTTTGTAACTCCACCTTCAAGATATGCTTTTCCTGATAAAGAAGGCTTGGAGGATACTTCAGACTGAACTCAAATGCTTACTGAATGCAAATTTTCCTGCAGGATCAAAAAGGTCAAGTCTAATTGTTATGTCTTAGATTTAAGAAGTTCCCTAAAAGTCTCATGTATTCAGAGGTGGAACTTTGGGGAGGTGACTGAATCAGGGTTGCTGCATTAATCTGTTGATGAGTTCCTAGCTGCATTGCTGGTAGGAGGTAGGGCTTGTGAGAAGTGGTAAGTCACATGGGCACAAGACCTGAAAAAGTACATGTGTATCCCTGGCTCATCCCTTTGCCGCTTGTTTCTACTTGCTGCCTGCTTTGGGAATGAGCAGCTTTTCTCCACCAGGCTGTTACCCATGCCATTTCAACTATATGGACTGAACCCTCTGCAGTCGTGAAACAAAAATAAATCTCTTATTCTTTAAGTTTCTAGTTTGGGTTACTTCATCCCAGAAAC